CCCGCAGAGGGCGGCCCACACCTGAACCCAGGAGGTAAACCCATTTGTTCTGGGGTGGAGAGGAGCAGACGGCCAAGTCTCGACCTGGACAGCACCGACCCGACCGGCCACCACAGCCCCAGCAAGGCCACGCCCTGACTATACCCCAACTACCACCAACGGCCAGGGGTACACCCCCAGCCGACACCCGCCGGAGCCCAGCGACCACCCCAGCCAGCGGGCCGACCACACCAACCAGGATCCACATCTCGGGAGTCCAATCAGCTCCAGGGAAGTCAGAGTGCAAGCCCAACCCCCGGCACCCACCCAAGCTCCCAGTCCACCATCAGTCCAGGCCCCCACCCGGCGGCATGCCCCCACCAGGGCCCCACCCCCAGACGTCAGTCGGGAAACGGGGGAGTGAGAAATAAATAAATAAAAGACCCTGACACACAAAAAGATAAAAATTGTGTAGGTCTTCTGGACAACCTATACAATTTTTTTTCTTTTTTMTTTTTTACCTGGATTACTGAGATGCATCAGGACACCCTGACACACACACCCCTACCCTCAAATGTGCTGTTGATGCATGTTGTTCTATAGTGTACTTAAAAGGAGAGGAAGAAGGGGCAGAGGCTGGCGGGATGCCAGTTTTCCCCCCACCCCAACCCCTAAGTGTCTACGTGCAGCTATTGGGGGAGGGCACAGATACCAGTGGTCACAGAGTGCCCCCCGCCCAACCCACAGTTCCTATATGTGAACGTCATGAAGATGTTATAGTGAGTGTCTAGAGTGTGTAATAAAATTGGGGTCTWGGCAGCTAGCCTGTTCCCGAGAACCCTGYATGAATGAAGTTGTAATTGAAGAGGGTGGGGGTATGTGGTGAGAGACGGGGAGAAAAACAATTGGGGGAGCAAAAATGCTTCACAGGGAGCCAGCTCCCCCACTAACTCCAGTAGGGCCCCCCGCTCACCGAGATCCATCCAGGGACTGAGGCCCACGCGGCTGTTCATCCAGACACACCGTCAGGCCTGAACCCACAGTCCACCCACCCCAGAGCTGCCCAGACCCCCCGGGACCGACCCCCAGCCCCACAGCCAGCCTGCCACCCAAAGAGGCCACCGAACCCCAACAGGCGATATGGCCGAGGCACCCACCCAACCGTCGACAGTGCAAGGAGGCACCCATACAAGCCCCACTGCAGCAGAAGGGCCAGCCAACCGGCCCAGCACAGCCCCTGGCCGGCACCAACAGGCATCCACCCAATTCCCACCCCAGAAGAAATTCTACACCCGCCCCAACATTCAGATACCTTTCAAAACATATAACACACTAGGCACCCAGACTAGGTCCCACCCCCACGATCCAACCGCACCCCCACCAACCACACCCGCCCCCAGCCAGTAAGACCCACAGCCCACCAACGCACCGGATGCTCCCGGGCGCACACTGGCCCAGGCTCGGCAGCAGCCCCTGGCGCCGTAGCAGCCCGCCGGGGCCCACCCCCCCGCTCCTACTGGTCCCCGGCCCAGGGGGGCAAAACCCCAGAGCCCCAGGCCTCCTGCGCCACCCCCAGCACAGTCAAGCCACATGACAGCAGCCCGCAACCACCGCCACAGACCACCCGAGGCCCCGCATGCAACCACGAGAGGACAATCCCCGGGACCCCCAAGGCCCTCCCCAGGGAGAGCCGCGCCTCCCTTCGCCCAGGACCCCCCAGCGGCCCAACACCCGAGGGCCCCCCCGATGC